CCGCCTGAAATCATAATCACACTGTAAGGCTGTCGTTATTACCTGTTCCCTCTGGGTAATTCAAGGCCATGGCCAAGCTTTGACACCTCCAAGAGAAGGAAGCACTCGTTCCTCAAAAAAACCCAAAAAAGCCCAAACAACCTATACCACTCCAGGCTCCAACCCATAGCTCACCAACATACAATTCCACCCTGTCTTTGGTTCCTCAGTACTAACATAAAGAACACGAGGCTCAGGTAGGAGCTCCAAATTTCATGCAATGCAGTATCTTCCTTGCTCCAACCCTGCTTCCAGACTGAAACCTTGGATCCAGACAATTAGTTGACTTGTAGCCACAGTTATCCAATCCATTTTTGCAAGAGTGAATGTCTCTCTGTCTGCCACTGGGTTGCCAACTAATTACTCAGTGTAATGGGGAATGGAGTGAAGAGAAATACAGGGACTGAGACTTGCTCCAGAACTGAAACATGTCCCATCTTTCCAAACCCTGCACTGTGAAAGCAGAGCATGCTTTGGCCCTACATTCCATGAGGCTGCCACTTATAATGATTATGCAATTAGCCACATGCCTTAGTTCATACATATGACATCAAAAGAACCCACGTTAAACTAAAATATTGAATTGCCAAGATAATTTAGAAATGTCAAAAGACCTAACAGCTGATCCCAAGAGCTAAATGTCTGGATCATGTTCTCTTTCTAAAATGAAATGTAGGATTCTAGAGTTCTGAGTTTAGCCTTAGAACTAAGCACTTTTCATGGCAAGGACTACTGTTCCAGATACTTCTCTCCCGTCTCTCCCCATTTTAAACAATTATTTGTTTTACTGGGCAGACTTTGACTTTTCAGGTGCTGTGCACACCCTCTTCTGTTCAGTTAAAGAAAAACTGATCGCTGTTAGGAAAAGAACAATTGGGAATCATACAAATGGTGGTCCAAAAAAGGAAATATTCTGATACAAATGAGGTTTCCCTCCTTTCTCTTTGTGATCAGCAAAAATCCATTTCATTATGAAAATTAGTGATCCTATTTTCTAACAGGTGAGTCTACTCTTCGGATTCCATACATTTCATGGTGACATGGTGACAAGGGACCACTCTCATTAAGTGATCAGGTGAGACTCAATAAATCTAGTCTCTAAGAAAATCAGTTCAGTCCTGGTATATTTCAAATTCCAGAAGACGCCTGACAAAGGTGACAAAAACACTCGTTTGCAACTGTGAGCATTTTGTGCTAAGGAACAACAGAGCATAGTGAGTAAAAAAGCATGGCCTTCAACGTGGAAGGAGTCTGAATCCCAGTTCTGCCGTTTACCAGCTGTGGGACCTCGGACAAGTTACTCATCATCTCCCTGACGGTTTCATCATTTAAAAAGTGAAAAATAGCGTTTCCTCATAAGGCTGTAGTGAAGATTAAATGAGTTAATACTGGGAAATGGCTTAGAACAGTGCCTGGCACAGAGTAATTTGCATACAAAGGAGAAGAAATCTGTAGGATTTCTCCAGACACCAGGATGGTCTCCACAGATGCCTTGGCCCATGCCACAGCCTACACCAACCCCCAAATGGAAATTTTTACTAGTAACTTCCTCCTGCAGATTTTACAACCTCCTCTGGCAAACCCATGAGGGCACTAAGCAATGCTAGGAGTCTTTTTTTCTCTATCCCATATGTTGGGCAAGTCATGAATTCCTTAAGTACTTATTCTGAAATGATAGACTACATTTCGATAATCATTTTATTAGTTACAGAAGAATCTCAACTAGTATTTACATAGTGCAAAAAAGCTGTTATTACCCCTAAAATGTGATATAACAATTATCCTTCAAACAACAAAAGAACAAGATGAAAATCTTTTCATGTTACAATTCACTAATTTTGCTTTTTTTTTTATTAGAGCATTACAATTAAGACATTAAATTATAAACTCATGTGGTATATTTAGAAATTAAATTACAAAATAACACAAATACTTTTAAGGTGTGTTGTGCCAACAAAGTTTAAATTTTTATCATTAATTAAGATTCAGATTTCAGCTTAGGTAAACCATTTGGCTGATTCTTTGATGTTTATAAAGGCTGGAACGGGCAAAGGAAGAGGAAGATGTCTTTAAATAAATTATGTCACAGAAAAAATTTTAAAGCAAAAAATGATTACGTTTTTAAATGGAATAAGTTAATGTTCTAACCTGTTGGCACAACGTACAGGAAATACTTAAATGACAGGTTTGTTGTTTTTTTAAAGCAAACAGCAGCTTTACAAACAGTAATACTTCTTTATACATATATTAAAGTAACAATGTGTTAAGATTTAACAATTTTATGTTGAAGAGTTGAAAAATGAATGTAGAGTTCACTACTCATTTGTACATTACGATACCCACCCCACCCACCTCCCCCAGCTTATTAAGAAATCAGACAAGTACATTATTTGAATATTAATTTTTCAATACTTAAACTATGTGAATTCCTTTTGACTAATTCTTTTCCAAATACTGGAAGCATATAAAATACCCTCTCTGCAAAAATGACCTCCAATCAAAGCCTTTAAAAACTTTTCAATGTATAACACACATTATTTTTCCCATGTTTAGTCAAAAGAAATATATTACATCATTTACAAACATATTTAAACCAAAATTAAGCTAGTGTGAACATTTGTCTTTTGAGAAGTAATCTTCACAGCAAACAATCCTACTGAAGCAGAAATCTAGTTCTGGGAGTGCAATTCATATTATAATTCATATACTTATGTACTGAAATAGAAATCTAATATTAATTATTGCCATAAAACAACCTCTACACACTAAGAAAAAAAATCACCATGGTTTTCATTTCTTGTGATAATGAACCCCTACTCTTATCATTAGGTCTCCGAAGAGGCACCCACTCCCAGTTCTGAACAAAAAAACGAAAAACAAAAAACCCCACTTTCCTATTTTCACACCTCCTCCTGTATAGAATACACAAATTCCAGAATTTATCTAAAGGAAACAAATTATAAAGACATTATTAATACTTATTTAAGCATACTATCGACACAGTAGCATCTCCTTTAATAAATTTTGGGTAGTCCTCTAGAGGTGACCTGTCTCGTATAAAAAAGGCTGTGGTCCCTTGGGTTTGCCGGCAGAAGATCCTGCACGTGCAAGAGCATTTATCGAACACAGAATTGAACACTTCTGAAGTCTATAGTAAACTTAAAAGTTACTGGTGTTCTGGAGATTTCCTCAACTTCTCTTTTGATACAAATGTCAAAAATGTAAAACGACAGTTCTCATTCAGAAGAGATATAAAATGTAAGAAACCTTTGAAAAGCCAATACCTCAAGATCAAGAGTCATCTGAATCACTGACACCGAGCAAAGGAAATTTACACCATAAAAAGTATGAAAAGTTTTTAAATTCACTTTTAAGATTGTCAGTAGTTCAAAATCTCTATCATTTCTTTAAACCAACTAACACTTCCCAAATGTGAAGACACAGTAAGATCTGCCACATCTATATCCATGATTACTATTTCAGAGGCTTCATTCCTTACATGCTGTGTTCCTTTAAGTGCTAAATACTTTGTGCCTAAGAAGTCTACACTGGAGAACAGTTTAGACAGGGCAGTACAATAATGTCCCCTTTTAGCACACTAATAAAGTTGACACACTGGCATTTTCTATACAGCAATGTTCCTAAACTTTCACAATGCACAGATACTAAATAATCACCCAAGAATCTGATCTCTCTAGCATTAATGCCAGCATTATAAAACATCAAAACTAGTGCAGTAGTCTCAATGAGTTCAGTAGAAAACCTGCCCAATTCTTCTCTCCTGCCTCTGTGAGGCAAAGCCCTACCCCATGAAATCAGAGCAGGGAAAATACCCCTCCCTCCTCAGTTCTGTAACTGCTTGTGGGAGTTCTTGCTGGCGCCTGTGTGCTCGTGTGTGTGTGTGTGTGTGTGTGTGTGTGTGTGTGTGTGTGGTCAGCTGGAAGCTAGGGATGGGGGAAGAGGTTGGAGGGAAGAGAGAAAAATAGGTAATCTATAATTCTCCCAACATTACATAAACTTGTAGAGGTCACTACCAGGTGACTGACCAGCAAATAAAACATTTAGCTCAGTATGTTTAAATTCTCCCAAGCAGATATACACATTCCTTGAGAAGGGCAGAGATAAGTAAGAGTGATCAAGAATTAATACCTGCCTAGATCTGTGTCCTCTAAATTATCTTATAGTTTCAGCACAATTAGAACAACTTTCTCTCTTCTTCAATACTTGCTTTTCCAAGCCTTGATTATCAGGATATATGTTATAAGTTGTGTGAAGTTCCTTTCCCTGACCTCCTATCAGTAACTATGGTGGGTGTTACATGGCAGGTGCTCAGGGCTAGGGACAAAATATGTATTTTTTTTTTTTTTAAGGTGAAATGATTTTTCACTCAGGACAAGTTTGGATACCTAATCAAATCCAGATAGCAAATCTAGAGGGTCCCAAATCAGAAGCATGCAAGAGAACACACCAATATAAGACTTTGTTTTGTAATAGTTTACACGTAAGTGCTACAGTCATAGAATCGGTTACAGTTATTCATCTGCCACAATCTGCCTAACTTGATGTAAATACGAGTATGTACAAGAGCATTCCTGAGGTAAGTAAGAAGTAAATAGGAGACAGAACCTAGAAGGTCCTATCGTGGGTGACTTTTCACTATTAAAGACAACATCTATCACTTCCCACAAGTAAGGCCAGCTCCAATGTATTGTGGTGGTTCCTTTGCTAACCTAAGTATTGGAGGGTCTGTTTTAGCCCACTGCAACTTTAATCACAATGATCAATGGCTTCTGAAATAAGCATCTGTGGACCAAAGAAAAGTTACATCAAATTTTAACACAAAACATTTGTGAACTTAGTTACCCTCTGCTTTTTTTTTTTTTTTTTTTTTTTTTTCCTATTTTCCAAATCTACCTCCAATTCTTTTTTAAAGAAGCCCAAACAACTTCTGATCAAATTAGAGTGAAGGAGGCAGTCCTGAAGCAAACACTGGTAACTGCTCTTAGCCTTAGAATCTGGATCTTTAACTTTCAAAATGACTCTAAAGAGGCATTTCAAATTTACTTTCTTTTTTAAAACCTAGTTGTCTTCTATTTTTAATCATTATTTTCCATAACAAAATAAGCTCTAACAATTCTGAATTTCCACACAGCTCTTAGAAAGACTCTTAGATGCTAATTAAAAGCTAAGCTACAGATTATAATAAAACAAGTAAAAGACAGCTACAAAAATATTTGTCAGAAATTAAATACATATATTAAATACCGGACAGTGCAAAATGTTGAGATGAAGCATAAAAGATAATGGCTGCAACCCTTACACAGTTGGAGACAGACAGCTGACATTTCCTGAGTTATAGACTTGGGGGCGTATAATTAAGATCAGAGGGCTCGTTGTTCCGTGAGCTGCAGCTGCTGGGCTTCTTCTGCTGCTCCTGACCTGCCTGGTGGTCAGTAGTCCAGGCCTCACCATCTATCCCTGGTTCCGGCACTTCAGGCGCCTCTGCCTCCTCTTCTCCACTTTGCTCTGCATTGTCTTCCTCAGAACCATTAAGGGTTTTTCCAAGCTGAAGAGTCTCCATTGTTCTCTGGGTCTCAGAGACCCAAGACTCAATTCTACTATTGAGCTGTACTTCTACAGATATGGGTTCATGAGTATAATCCTCCTCCTCCTCCTCCTCTTCATCATCCTCTTCTTCGAGCATGCCAGGTACAAGGGTGCTGGTGGTGCTGGTGATGGAGGAATTCAAAAGATCTCGGCAACTGCCATCCAAAGAACCGGTCTCTGTACTCTGCTGGGAGGCCCACTCCAGGTCATCTGGCTTCGCTTCCTCTTTATCACTCACTGTTGGTTTCCCAGGGTTTGTAGCTGAGGTAGTACCACCTGCAGCCAGTGATGACAGCTGCTTACCCACAGGGGCTGTGTCAAACTGAAGTTTACTGGGTTTTTCGGATGTGCTATGCTTAGAGGAAACCTCTCTCTCATTTTCTGATGTTTCTAGTCCATCTGACGTTTCCACCATGTTTCTCCAATTTGTTTCTGCAGATACCAAACAGATTTTTAAAAACCAGAACACGGTTTCAGAATCATGCAACTCTTAAAAGAGGGAAGAACAAAATTTGTTGGCTCACCAACTGGTTGGAAAAACTAAAATCTTAGTTTATTCTAGTACTGGTTTAAATGTTATAAAAGGAAAACAATTCTCAAAAATGTACACTTAAGATAAAGAAACAAGGAGGCAAAAGTAAGTGTATTAATGCCTCAGATGCACAAGATCTTATACCAACAGTAGCTCACTGGTGTTTAGATATAAAATCCGTATCTTCATGAAAATCAATGAATTGCCGTTTTATTCTTTTTTCTTTTTTGGCCCAGAGGTGTACTGGGCCCAATGATCCTCAAGTCACAGATAGCAGAGCCAAGATATCCAGCAGAAATAGTTCTAATTTGGCATGTTTGTGTCATGCTCCCACACCAAGTTATGGGAGAGTTGTCTTAACCTGCAATGGGATTTATGTTTCCATTGATAAGCAAAGAAGCCATCCATGTATTTTTAACAACTGTGAAAATTTGTTTTAGAATTTATGTAGCTGGGCTTACCAAGTGAATTTGGTAGCTAAAAAAAGAAATGTTATTACATAATACAGTGGTAATAACCTAAGTTATTTTTAATGACAGGAAGTCAATTTAAAGGAAAAAAACCTACAAAGAATGAGGAGACAAAAGACAGCTCTTCTACCCCTTTTTTTCCTGTGTTTATTTTTCTTTCATTTTTTATTATTTAGGTATAATGGACATATTATATTAATTTTAGTTGTACAACATAATGGTTTGGTATTTATACATATTGGAAAATGACTGCCTTAACAAGTCAACATCTGTTACCACATAGTTACCAAAAAAACGCTTTTTTCTTGGGATGAGGATTTTTAGATCTACTTTATAACAATTTTCAAATACGCAATCCAGTATTATCAATTATGTCTCCATGTTGTAGGTTATATCCCAGGACTTATCTATTTTACAACAGGAAGTCTGTACCTTTTGACACCCTTCACGCACTTCACCCACTCCCTATGACTCTGGCACCCACATACACGTACAAGACACACACTCCATCTTCTTTATCCATTCATCCACTGAGGGGCACTCAGGTTCTAAGCTACTGTGAATAGTGATGAAATGAAGGGAGTATAGATATCTCTTTGGGATAATGATTTCATTTCCTTAGGTATATATGCAGAATATGGGCTAAAAATCATATGATATTTCTATTTTTACTTTTTTAAGGTACCTCCATACTATTTTCTGTAGTGGCTGCATCAATTTACATTCTCACACTGTACAAGGATTCTCTTTTCTCTACATCCTTATCTGATATTTTTTGTCTTTCTGATAATAGCCATTTTAACAGTTGTCAGGTGGTGTATATATATGTATCTTGTAGTTTCAATTTGCATTTCCCTGGTAATTAGTGACACTGAACACCTTTTTATGTTGGCCATATGTATGTCTTCTTTGGAAAAATGTCTATTCAGATCCTCTGCTCACTTTTTAATTGGATTGTTGGCTTTTTATTATTGAGTTGTATGAGGTCTGTGTATATTTTGGATATTAACCCCCTATCAGATACGTGATTTGAAAGCATTCTCTCCCACTCAGTAGGTTGCCTTTTTGTTGATTCCCTCTGCTGTGTGCAAAGTTTTTAGTTTTTTGATGTAGTCCCACTTATTTATTTTTGCCTTTAAAAAAAAAAACAGCCCCCCTTCTATTTGCATTATAGCTGCTATTTGCAGTTTAAGTATAATGGTCAAGCTGTAGTGATAAAGCAAGTTTATTCATATTAATATAGTGAATTTGACTGTCACCTACCAACTATATACTGATAAAGACCATATTTTGGGCACCTGAAATCAGGGCACATGCTTTGGGAAAAAAACCTTTCTTTTCTATAGTTAATTCAAATTTGGAATAGGTCCTTTCCACTCTTCCACCTCATGAAAAAACAACAACAACAAAAAAAAAGCACAATAAAAACCAAACCTATTCCTCCTCTTATATTCTCATTCTTAGTTAATAACATTATCATTTTCGTAGTCTCAAAGCAAAAGAACACACAGTAATCCTTGAAACCCTATCTTTTGCCCTGACTATATCTCTTTATTCCACTGAACTCATAATTACACCATCTCACTTCTATCTCAAAAACTACTAAATTTGGTCACTACTGCCTTAGCTCAAGCCTTCTTTATCTTGCTATACATCTACATATAAACATAACTGGTTTTGTGAATTGGTCATGTCACTGTCTAACTGGCTTTCTATTACCCTAGGAGACAATCCAAACACCTTAGCTTGGCATAATCAAAGCCCTCCATGATCTGACCCTTACCTGTCTTTCTGGTCCCATTCATTATAACCCTTGGTCACGCATTCTATGCTTGGGGTCTCTCTGAATTCTCATTCCTCCCAAAGTCATAACTTCTGTTTACAATTTCTTGCTTTGCATAAGCTGTTCTTTTCACAGATGTTTTCCTCCTTTACCCTTCAGACTCCCACTCATCCTTGAAAACCATCCTTAAATGTCAATTCTTTTCTGAAGTCTTTCCTGACTTTCCACTAACCTAAATTCCCACAGAACTTTTTGCATACAGTTCCAAAGCACTTGTTTTGTGTTTGCTGTGCCGCCCCCCCTCCCTTCTCCTTCCCACTCCCACTCATCTCTGTGTCCCTATGGTTGGCATATAATAAGTGTTAGAGACAAAAAAGCCTATTAAATGAAAAATGCCACACGTATATTTAATTATGCGCCCCCCCCGAAAACTTTAAAAAGGCATACATTTTTTTTGAAGTTTTAGATGCACTTTTACATTCCTTCTAACAGTTTTTTTTCCTCCTTCAAAAGTTTAAGAATTCACTTGGGGTCTTGGAAAAAGTTCCACCTCTCCCTTGGCTATGAGTCAAAGAACAGGAAAAAGGAAGGTCAGGATACTAGGTTAGGCTGATCTCTCTCCAGGATAAACTTTGGGCTTTCATCTACTTGGACAGGTGAGCTGAAAGCCCACACGGTTCCTTGGGAAAGGAAAAGGAGATATGACCTTAGAAGCAGAGACAAAGGATTCTGCTGTTTAGCCATCAAGAGACTTGTCACAACAATCAAAAAGCCACCTAGATCACACATCCACTGGGGAGGGAAGGCCTATGATCCCACCTTAAAGTAATAGGTGAAGCTTGATCAACAGTTGAGGAGTGCCACAAACACATGAATACAACATGGAGAAACAGAAGAATAAGAAAGTGCCATCATTCTCTATGGGATAGGAGAAATCTGATTGGAATGGGGAGGGGGACAGTCTAAATCCAGAACAGAACCTCTAGGAGTCCACTTATGATGAAGGGAACAGGAAGCAAGTTAAAGGCAGAACCAAAGATCTCAACAAACCTGGAAACGGCACTGATCCAAACCTATCCTGCTTCTGAATTGTTTATTGTAGCAGAACTTACTCAGTAGAGCTCTTCTTTGCTTATTAATCCCTCTATGCTTTCCTGTTTTGTTTACTGGGTCCTTGTTATTTGTTTTTTAAACTTCCAAATCAGTAGTGATTTATCAGAGGATGAGATGTGTGTATTTCTCCTTTCAGTCAGTACTCACAGGGAAGCTATCCATCTTTAGATAGTTATATATGGAAGAATAAGCAAATGAGTTCAAGAAACTACAGAAGAAGGGGTGATAGTAGAGAATGAGCAGGAAATTCAGGATAGAAGGACTACACATCAAGGCTGTCCCCCTCATAAGTGGTTACCGAAAACCTATTATATTATCCTATTATGAACTCATACAACAGACAGGGAATACAATCACACTGGCTAAGAATGCAGATTCTAGAGACGGATTCACCCACTGCAAGGCACTGGCAAGTTATTTACCTCTCTTCATCTTAGCCTCATCTGTACAATGCAGTACACTATTTCTTATTTCATAGGGTTGCTCAGACAACTGAACATATTAGCGTGAAATGCTTGGAAAAGTGCCTAGCACATAGTAAGAATTCAGTGAGATATTATTATGTATCAAGTGGCAATTATATGCCAAGTTCCAATATCAAAGAACTTACAACTTAATTGGGATTTATGTTCAAAACTATTTGTTTCAGGTAATAAATATGATAGAATTGAGACTCAGCACAGGTGGAAGGAAAACATAAGCAAAGAAAACAAGGGTACACAAAGGACAGTAAGACTGTACTATCACAGGAGGTTTTCTAGTCTACCAATGATTAGCATCCTTTTCCAAGCTTTGGTTTTCTTTACACTCGGTGGGGCGGGGGAGGAACATTTTAGAAACCCGGCATCTTCCAGAAATGGAAAACGCTACTTGCTGTCTACCCAACAGTCATTCCCCGTTTTCTTCCTGGATAACAGAACCCCCAAACTTGGGATGAACTTGAGCCTAGTCCCAGAGGATGAATTAAAATAGCTCTCAGACTATCATGGTTATCCTATCCCTCCTATGCCAAATACTCCCTTGCCCTAGTCTCCCTTGCAGCTAAAAGTAGTCACAAGATTGGTTCTAGCCAAATGAAACAAAAGAAGTCTTCTGAAAATGGTTTCTTCACTGATAAAAGAAACTCACTGCCTGAACTTCCTGCTTTTGACTACTAATGCCGAGAGCCACAGCAGCTACTTATGAACATGAGATGATAAGCACAGGAGAAAAAGCTACAGACTGAGAATGGAAGAACAGAAAAAAAGAAAGAGCTAAGGACTTTGATGACACCGTGAAATACTTAAATATACTAACTTCTTAGGACACATTAGTGTGCTTTCTATTTGTTGCTGAATACATCTGATACAAAAAGAATAACTTCATACTTTCTTCTCAATGTTATCTGTGGTTACCTTCCACTCATTTTGTTGGTGTCCTGATAAATCAGCTCATCTTCAAGATTCTGTCTAAATCTCTCCTTAGGATCAACCATTAGCTCTACTAAAACAAACAAACAAACAAACAAACAAACAAACAAACAAATGACAACTACAGGCCCAAAATGGTGTCACTTAGACTGAGTTCCCAAACTGAAGTTTAATTCCCAAATTGCAGTTTCAACTTCCTGTACAAATGTGGCCGTAAACAGTAAGTCAGGAAATTTTTCCATCAGCACCAATGAGTCCATCACCTGGGTCCTCTCCATCCCCCAAAGAAAGATGAGGTAATCTGCCTAAGACCCCTCCCATGTTCCCCCAGCAAACAGTCGCCTCTAGAAAAATCTTTTTCTCCTCCTAATGACTTTCTTGCCTCCCCCCTCTATAAAAACTTTCCATTTTGTACAACTCTTCAGAGTGCCTCTCTACCTGCTAGACGGTGGCTGCCCAATTCATGAATCATTTAATAAAGCTAATTCGATCTCCAAACACATTGGTTGAATTTTGTTTTTTAACAGCTCATAGAATTTTAGCTTTGAATGGAACCTTATAGATGACCTAGACAAACCCTCCTCATTTCACTAAAGAGAAATCTGAGTCCCAGAAATTAATCAATTATTTCTCACTCCCCTAGGCAGAATGTGAAAAAGCCAAGGCTTCCATCTTTGAACACTCTAAATTTGGTGCTTTTTGAAAACATCTCCTAAGTCTTTGAGGAGAGAGGTTCTTTTTAGAACTTTTCTTTTCATGTGCCCAAATGAAGATCACTATCAATTGCTCAAATCCAGTTTTATGAATTTACCTTGCAGTTTGCTTTTGAGATCTGCAGATCGTTATACAGACAGAAGCAAACTCATTTACAAAGCTGGCACTTTATCTTCTTTATTTTCAACTGGTGTCAACTTCAGACAAAGATACACGTCTGCCTCTAAGCCAGTAACACTTAACCTTGGTCTGAGGTTTCCTAAAGTCCCACAGTAACTTGTTCACTGCCTCTGGCCTAGAATTGTCAAAAGCATTCCAAACATTTAACTACAATTACAGACAGAAGACTAGCAAAGAGAGTGTGAGAAAAAAGGGAAAAAAATGAGGGTCCGTTTTTTTTAATGTTAAATTTTAGGTGGTAACATGCTATTCAATAAACTTCTAGAGGAAGAAAGAAAGAAAGGAAGGAAGGAAGGAAGGAAGGAAGGAAGGAAGGAAGGAAGGAAGGAAGGAAGAGAAAGAAAAGAGAAAAGAAAAGAAAAAGAAAAGAAAAGAAAAGAAAAGAAAAGAAAAGAAAAGAAAAGAGAAACGAAAAGACAAGAAAAAGAAAAGAAAGAAGGAAGAACCAGGAGCCACATTAAAGGAGGTGGCTATACTATTTTTAAAAAGAAAAAAATTGGGAAATGAATTAGAAACTAGATCATGAAAAGTGGGGAACTTAAAGAGTTCAAAGTATTATACAGAAACAAGGCAAGGAAACTACTAAAACATATAGTGCAATAAATAATGTTATTTTAAACATTGTATGTTAAAAAAAAAAACACAGGCCAAAAATGGCATCACTGAGGCCAAATCACCAAACCAGAGCTTAATATCTAACCTAATCCCAGTTTCGACCTCCCCTAGAAATAGAAGTCTGAAGAATTTTCTGGTCAGCACTAGTGAGGTAATCTGTCACAAGGGCCCTCTCCACCCCCAACAGGAAGATGAGACAATCCACCTAAATAAGACCCCTTGCCTATCCCCCTCAAGGAAGGTGACCTTGCCAGACCTTGGCAGGAAGGATCCTTTCTTTTCTTTTGCTAATAACTTCCTTGAACCACCCACCTTCCTATAAAAACCTTCCATTTTGTACAGCTCCTCAGAGCTCTCCCCTACTTGCTAGATGGGATGCTGCCCAATGCACAAATCACTTATGAAAGCCAATTAGATCTTTAAACTTACTCAGCTGAATTTTTATTCTTTAACACACACAAATGCTGGGTTTTCGTCTATATTTCTTTTCAACTAGCATCAAATTTAACTCAAAACAAATGTCATATGTCTAGATTTTATAAGCTTACAATCAATAATATTCAGGTCTTTTGTTTACTTAGTAAATACAAAACTTCAATAATAGAATATCAGCATGAAACCTCCTAGAATTTACTTAGTTATAGGTCACAAAGTATGACACATTTTGACTTTCAAATCCCTTTGGAGATTCTGGAAATGTGACTGAATTATAGGATCTCACAGAAAGTCTCAGCCCCAAACTGTCTCCTAATGTTTAATGGACATGTTTAATGCAATTTCTTAAACCAAAATTCTGAGCAAAATATGAATAATCAGTAAGATAAAAACAAAAAGTAGCATGTATTTCAAAATTTCAATCATCTGAAATGATATATAACAACTTACCATATTCCTTTTCATTTACTTCAGAGATGGGTTCAGAAATAACACTGCAGAAAGAAATGGCGCTGGCTGCAGAGGGGTTCCGAGAGTGCCCCATGTGGTGTGGCACCTTCTTCACATTCTTTAAGGCCTCCTCAGCTTGCTCTTGTTCCATTGCGGCAACCATATCTTTGTATGCTTTCCTGGCTTCCTCAGTAAGTTCCACTAACTTATTAAACAGGCTCTAAAAAGGGATTTTGATTAGTCCATTTTTTGTTATGCTTTTTATTCCTATAATTAACAATAAATAGGGGCGCCTGGGTGGCTCAGTCAGTTAAGCATCCAACTCTTGATTTCAGCTCAGGTCATGATCTCATGGTTCATGAATTCAAGCCCCACACTGGCCTCGGCACTGTCAGTGCAGAGCCTGCTTGGGATTCTCTTACTCCATCTCCTCTCTGGATTCTCTCTCACTCCATCTCTCTCTGCCCCTCTCATACTCTTTCTCTCTCAAAGTAAATAAATAAAAACTTTAAAACAAAACAATAAATAGTATCTCTACTGTTTCAGGATCAGACACACTTTCAATGAGCACAAATGGTATGCACACTGCAGAACTTTATAAAATACTCTGTAACTTTCAGATATTGTTTATATAATTCTCATAAGTCTGAGAAAATGTCTTTTTTTTTAATTTCTTTTTTAATGTTTATTTATTTTTGAGAGAGAGACACACAGTGCAAGCAGGGGGGAGGGACAAAGAGGAGGGGGAGGGACAGAGAGAGAGGGAGACACAGACTCCAAAGCAGGATCCAGGCTCCTAGCTGTCAGCACAGAGCCTGACGCAGGGCTCAAACCCACGACTGTGAGATCATGACCTGAGGAGAAGTCAGATGCTCAACTGACTGAGCCACCCAGGCGCCCCTCTGAGGAAATTTCTTGATTCAATATTAGTCACTAATTGTGATATACTAAAAGTTCTTGCAAAGTTTATCATTCAACAACTGCACCCTTTAGTATCTGGCACTACAGTGAGTACAAAGATCACTGGAACACCATTCTGCTCTCAAGGAAACTTCCATATGGCTGAAGATGGGAGATACCAATGATTCAAGCAAGGTACCTTATCTTAAATGCCTTGAGATGTACAAAGTATTTTGGCTTCTGGAAGAAACATCAAATCTAACTGCTGAGCATTAAACATTTAAATATCAACATTAAATATATAAGTATAAAATACATAATAAAATATATAAAATCTAAACATTAAATCTAAACACTAAATATTAAACATTTAAATATATAAAAATAGTATGGATGGGAAGAAGGAAAATGGTCCATGAATGGTGTTACAAAACACTTCAAAATCAACTTCATAAAAAGGTCTTAAAATGTTATCAGTTAATAAGTATTAGGGAAGATAAATAACTATTCTAATTATTAGTTATCAACCTATTATTATTATTATTATTATTATTATTATTATTTATTATCAGCTCCTATGGGCAAAGCTTTATTGGCAGACTAGGAGAGGAAGATAAAAGTATCTTGAGTGCAGAATTATTCTGACAATTGGTTAGGAACTCCATTTTCTGAAAGAAAATCCTCTCCAGGGGCGCCTGGGTGGCGCAGTCGGTTAAGCGTCCGACTTCAGCCAGGTCACGATCTCGCGGTCCGTGAGTTCGAGCCCCGCGTCAGGCTCTGGGCTGATGGCTCGGAGCCTGGAGCCTGCTTCTGATTCTGTGTCTCCCTCTCTCTCTGCCCCTCCCCCGTTCATGCTCTGTCTCTCTCTGTCCCAAAAATAAAATAAAAAAAAACGTTTAAAAAAAAATTAAAAAAAAAAAAAAAGAAAATCCTCTCCAACTAAAGCATTCTTCTCTCTCTTGACTCCAAGTAGCACAAAATATAGCCTTATATAAACTGAAGAAAATTATTTTACATTGTATAATATTGGATATCTTTACCCAGCAGTTAAATAAATTCTCAGATATTACAAAATTAAACCCAGAAGAAAAAAAACACTGTGGGAAAAATAGGAACTAATATGTTTATAGCCAAAATATTGTAGGATTAATTTGTATAAATGGTTTCAACACTAAAAAGGAAATGTGGACTCAAGAATTTTCCACTCATCCCTGGGAGAATCATCTCACTTCTTTAAATGTTTAAACATAACACTGGCGTGTGTCAACAGAAAATGTATGGGGGGAACAGGAGGGAGTGAGGGAGTGCATCCTCGAAGTCTTACCTCAGCACCAAAGTAGTTGAAGATTCCCACTACACTAACAGGAACCAGCTTGTTCACACAGCGTCCTAGAGCTTTTCTTCCAAGCGCAAACACAAAAGGAATTTCTTGTTCCCGTGCCATGGCTATAACATTATAGAGAGCCTCATCCAGTCCACCTGAGAAAGTCAACACATGCTGAGGTTTTAATTTACTTATTATTTTTTCCCCCATTAAGTAGGCTTCACACCCAGCATGGAGCCCAACGTAGGACCTGAACTCACTACCCTGAGATCAAGACCTGAGCTGAGATAAAGAGTTGGAGGCTTAACTGACTGAGCCACCCAGGTGCCTCTAATTTACTTATTTCTTAAATGGAGGTATTTTAGCACCCAACAGCTAAAGCATAAAACACAGCAGCAAAGGATTCTATGAATACTTGTGGCACTTCTGCTGTTCCACACATTTTCTTATTGGAATTTATATATGAATATATATACATATTTTCTTTCTTTCCAATAAATTTTCCAATTCTTCAAGGCCAATTTTTGTCTCTCCATAGGGATTAGTATAGAGGGAGTCAAACTTCGATACAATAAACATTTATTAAAACAGAAATTAAAATTGTTAATAGTGACTGATGTCTTTATTCTCTCAGCTCAAGTAGCAATGAGACAGACATATACTACTATTTTTATTGGCATTTTCCCCCGTGGAGACTATTCCTACTACTGTTACTTCTGCATCTGTCTTCTCCAATTACCCAAAGTGGCTCCTCCATGAAAACAGACAAATCAGGGTGCATGAAACAGTAAAAAAGTATTGTGTGTGGGTTCCCATAAGAGCCTTTACATGTAACTGCTCATTTCTGAGGCAAATCACCATAAGCAAGAGCAGAGAACTTTAACTTTTATCAAAGGAAGGTAATCCAAGAATTTTAAAAGCAGAATACATTTGCAGAAATAAAGAAAGGTATTCTTATGAATAAGTCCTCACTCTGATTACAACAGAGGGGACACTTGGGGAATAAAATCCTTAACTAGTGTTCACAGATTAAGACTTTATAGTCTGATCTCAATTTTATTACTTAATTTAGGTAATGAAAGATTTCACTTTCTTTCATGGTCATCATTATGTTTCATATCTAATCTCTGCAAAGAAAGACATATGGCTTCCACATTTTACAATTCATTGTATATCCTACAGTTATACTAAATAAATATCAAAACACTTCAACAGTAAAATGTTCATACCTTTTGACTGGATTTTTTCACAGTTTGGAGAAATTATAACACACTTGATCTTATTTAACTTCATATGCTTAGTAACCTCCCTTAGACCCATAACCAGCCGTCTCCTTGCTTTTGCTCTTACAGGATCTTTTTGGTAGATGCGTTCCTGAAAACTGACAAGCTCTTGAAGAAGAAGAGTCACACATTCATCAATCTCTTTACAAAGAACCTGATTGCAGTACCTGTAAAGGAAACCAAAAACAGGTAAGTCCATCCTAATTTATTTTTCTGAAATTATAAAATTATGTTAGGAAAAAAAATATCCAATAAGAGGTTTTCATTAAAAAAATCAACTCCTTAAACTCTCTTAATTAAATGGGCAGAAAACATGAAGAGACACTTCTCTAAAGAAGACATCCAGATGGCCAACAGGCACATGAAAAGATGCTCAATATCGCTCCTCATCAGGGAAATACAAATCAAAACCACACTCAGATATCACCTCACACCAGTCAGAGTGGCTAAAATGAACAAATCAGGAGACTATAGATGCTGGACAGAATGTGGAGAAACGGGAACCCTCTTGCACTGTTGGTGGGAATGCAAACTGGTGCAGCCGCTCTGGAAAACAGTGTGGAGGTTCCTCAAAAAATTAAAAATAGATCTACCCTATGACCCAGCAGTAGCACTGCTAGGAATTTACCCAAGGGATACAGGAGTACTGATGCATAGGGGCACTTGTACCCCAATGTTTATAGCAGCAGTCTCAACAATAGCAAAATCATGGAAAGAGCCTAAATGTCCATCAACTGATGAATGGATAAAGAAATT